ATCAAAAACAATATACTCAGATCACAACATAATTGAGGTTCAGACATGTATGCGTGGAGCACCAGACCGACATAATGAGACTAGTCACGAGGGAGCATTCACCAAATTCAACTTCAATAACAAAAACATAAAGTGGGACCAAGTAAACCAAGTCGTAACCGATATAAGCTGGGAAGATATACTAAGCAACACAGACCCCAACTTATGCCTAGAACAGATTAACTCGGTGGCACTCGATGTATGCACAAGGCTTATTCCTCTAAGAAAAAGGAGGAGTAGATGTAAAATAGAAAGAGACAGGCGCTCCCTTTACAGGCGACGGAAAAGAATAACAGAGCGGCTAAAAGAGGTCAATATATCTGAAATGCGTAGGGAGACACTGGTCAGAGAAATAGCAAGCATCGAACTTAAGCTAAAAGAATCCTTTAGGAGTCAGGAATCGCGGGAAGAACTAAAAGCCATAAATGAAATCGAAAGAAACCCAAAGTATTTCTTCTCCTATGCCAAATCAAAATCGAGAACAACGTCCAGTATTGGGCCCCTACTAAACAAGATGGGTCCTACACAGATGACAGCAAGGAAATGAGTGAGCTACTCAAGTCCCAATATGACTCAGTTTTTAGCAAGCCGCTAACCAGACTGAGAGTCGAAGATCAAAATGAATTTTTTATGAGAGAGCCACAAAATTTGATTAAGACAAGCCTATCCGATGTTATCCTGACGCCAAATGACTTCGAACAGGCGATAAATGACATGCCCATGCACTCTGCCCCAGGGCCATACTCATGGAACTCTGTGTTCATCAAGAACTGCAAGAAGCCCCTATCACGAGCCTTTTCCATCCTATGGAGAGGGAGCATGGACACAGGGGTCGTCCCACAGTTACTAAAAACAACAGACATAGCCCCACTCCACAAAGGGGGCAGTAAAGCAACAGCAAAGAACTACAGACCAATAGCACTAACATCCCATATCATAAAAATCTTTGAAGGGTCCTAAGAAGCAAGATCACCACCCATCTAAAACCCATCAGTTACACAACCCAGGGCAACATGGGTTTAGAACAGGTCGCTCCTGTCTGTCTCAACATTGGATCACTGCGACAGGTCCTAAATGCACTAGAAGACAAAAGAATGCAGATGTAATATATACAGACTTTTCAAAGCCTTCGACAAGTGTGACCATGGCGAAATAGCACACAAAATGCGTGCTAAAGGAATAACAGGAAAAAGTCGGTCGATGGATCTATAATTTCCTCACTAACAGAACACAGAGAGTAGTCGTCAACAGAGTAAAGTCCGAGGCAGCTACGGTGAAAAGCTCTGTTCCACAAGGCACAGTACTCGCTCCCATCTTGTTCCTCATCCTCATATCCGACATAGACAAGGGTGTCAGCCACAGCACCGTGTCTTCCTTTGCAGATGACACCCGAATCTGCATGACAGTGTCTTCCATTGCAGACACTGCAAGGCTCCAGGCGGACATCAACCAAATCTTTCAGTGGGCTGCAGAAAACAATATGAAGTTCAACGATGAGAAATTTTCAATTACTCAGATATGGGAAAAATGAGGAAATTAAATCTTTATCAGAGTACAAAACAAATTCTGGCCACAAAATAGAGCGAAACACCAACGTCAAAGACCTGGGGGTGATCATGTCGGAGGATCTCACCTTCAAGGACCATAACATTGTATCAATCGCATCTGCTAGAAAAATGACAGGATGGATAATGAGAACCTTCAAAACTAGGGAGGCAAAGCCCATGATGACACTCTTCAGGTCACTTGTTCTATCTAGGCTGGAGTATTGCTGCACACTAACAGCACCTTTCAAGGCAGGTGAAATTGCCGACCTAGAAAATGTACAGAGAACTTTCACGGCACGCATAACGGAGATAAAACACCTCAATTACTGGGAGCGCTTGAGGTTCCTAAACCTGTATTCCCTGAACGCAGGAGGAGAGATACATGAATATATACACCTGGAAAATCCTAGAGGGACTAGTACCGAACTTGCACACGAAAATCACTCACTACGAAAGCAAAAGACTTGGCAGGCGATGCACCATCCCCCCAGTGAAAAGCAGGGGTGTCACTAGCACGTTAAGAGACCATACAATAAGTGTCAGGGGCCCGAGACTGTTCAACTGCCTCCCAGCGCACATAAGGGGGATTACCAACAGACCCCTGGCAGTCTTCAAGCTGGCACTGGACAAGCACCTAAAGTCAGTTCCTGATCAGCCGGGCTGTGGCTCGTACGTTGGTTTGCGTGCAGCCAGCAGCAACAGCCTGGTTGATCAGGCTCTGATCCACCAGGAGGCCTCGTCACAGACCGGGCCGCGGGGGCGTTGACCCACGGAACTCTCTCCAGGTAAACTCCAGGTATAGCATGTCACCTACACATAGCATGTCACCAACATACAGTATGTCACCTACATACAGAATCTTACCAATGTATAGCATGTCACCTTCATATAGTGTATCATTTATATATTGCATGTCGCCTACATATAGTATGTCACCTACATATAGCATGTTACCAACATACAGCATGTCACCTACATATAGGATATCACTTACACATAACATGTCACCTACATGTAGTATGTCACTTACATATAGCATGTCACCTACATATAGCATGCCACCTACATATAGCATGTCACCTACATATAGCATGTTATCTACATAAAGCATGTCACCTTCATATGGCATGTCGCCTACATATAGCATGCAACCTACATATAACAAGTCACTTACAAATAGTATGTCACCTACATATAGCATATCACCTACATACAGCATGTCACCTACATATAGCAGATCTCTTACATAGCATGTCACCTATATATAGTATGTCACCAATATATATCATGTCACCTACATTTAGCATGTCACCTACATAGCATATTACCTACATATAGCATATTACCTACATATAGCATGTTTCCAACATATAGCAAGTTACCTACATATAGCATACCACTTACATATAGCATGTCACCTACACATAGCATGTCACCTACATATTGCATGCTACCTACATATAGCATGTTACAAACATATAGCAGGTTACCTATATATAGCATACCACTAACATAGCATGTCACCTACATATAGCATGTCACCTATGTATAGCATGTCACCTACATATAGCATGTTACCAACGTATTTCATGTTACCTACATATGTCATACCACTTACATGTAGTATGTCAGCAACATATAGCATGTCACCTACATATAGCATGTCACCTACATATAGTACGTCAAATACATATATCATGTTACCAACATATAGCATGTTACCTACATAATGCATACCACTTACATATAGTATGTCACCTACATATAGCATGTTACCAACATACAGTATGTCACTTACATATAGTATGTCACCTACATGTAATCAACATATAGCATACCACTTACATATAGCATGTCACCTACATATAGCATGTTCCCAACATATAGCACGTTATGTACATATAGCATACCACTTACTTATAGTATGTCACCTACACATAGCATGTTACTAACTTATAGCATGTTACCAACATATAGCATGTTACCTACATATAGCAGACCACTTACAGATAGTATGTCCCCTACATATATCATGCTACCAACATATAGCATATCACCTACAGATAGCATATCACTTATATATAGTTTGTCACCTACATATAGCATGTTACCAACATATAGCATACCACTTACATATAGTATGTCACCTACATATAGCATGTTACCAACATATAGCATACCACTTACATATAGTATGTCATCTACATATATCAAGTTACCAACATATAGCATGTCACCTACATATAGCATCTACATACAGCATGTTACCAACATATAGCATGTTACCAACATATAGCATGTCTCCTACACATAGCATGTCACCTAGATACATCATTTCACTTATATATAGCATGCCACTTACATGTAGCATATTTCCTACATGTAGCATGTCTCCTACATATAGCATGTCACCTGCATATAGCATGTCACCTACATATAGCAAGTCTCCTACATATTGCATATCACTTACATATAGCATGCCACTTACATGTAGCATGCCACTTACATATAGTATGTCACCTACATATAGCATGTCCCCTACATATAGCATGTCTCCTTCATTTAGCGAATCACTTACGTATAGCATGCCACTTACGTACAGCATGTCACCTACACATAGCATGTCACAGCCACCGAGGATTGAAGGATCTATGGACGGTGGTCGTTCTTCAATAAAACGTGTAAAGCCTAGTTTACCCACTTCCCTTCGATGGCTGCTATTATTCCCCTTCATGAACTTCCTCTTGTTCCTCTTTGTCTTCATACTTTTCTTTCTCCTACCTTTCATCCTTTTCTTTTTATATTCTTGTGCTCTACTCTACCTCTGCTTGCTGTTCCTTGTGCTGATGTCTACCTTTGCCTGCAGTTCTTCCTCCTTCCTTTACTCTCTGTTGTTCTTCCTCTTCCTCCTCTTGCCTTTGCTTCCTGTTTTTCATATTGCTGTTTCTTCCTCCAATTGTTGTTCATTTCCTCTAATGTTCTAGATTTCTGATGCTCCTGCTGTTCGTGTTTTCGCTCTTCCTTCTCTTGTTGGTAAGAGAACTGAAGACTTGAACACTAACAATAAAGAGAATAAATGCATCTTTAGCTCTCAAAACTTGAGCATGTCAATCATTGTAACACACCTTATCATCTCTAGAAATGAGATGAGGTCAAATTAATTTTATTAGATAAAACAGAGACAATGTTGCTTGTAATTACACAGAGTATAAGTAGTGTAAAGTAGCAGAGTAACTTCATAAACTTCCACTGCTGCCCCATATATTTCATGCCATTCCAAGTACATAGTATGTGATATTATTGTCCAAGAGGAACGTTATTTCCTAAATAAAGATATAAGGCTAGTTTTTTCTTACACTTTTGTTCCTTGGCATTTATATATTAATGTTATTTGTATTACACAAGACTATAGGTTAGTGTTATTTGTGTTACCCAGGTAGGTGTGTTTCCCCAACTGCTGCTGGGCCCGCGTGTTGACGGTGACTTCCTTCCAGCCGAACCTGAAGTGTTGATGACTCAGGGAAATCACAACAGTGTGGACATCATATTTGGAGTCAATTCTCACGAGGGCGGCTCTCAGGCACTCGGTGAGTCAATTTTATATTTAATAATTATTATTATTATTACTTATCATTTCCTCTCTCAGCCCAAATCGAGGCTAATTGTTGCTCTTGCTGTTGTTGCTGCATCTGTTCTTCCTACTTCTACTCTTTCACAACATACACTTCCTCTTCCACTTCTTTTTTCTTCATTCTTTGCTTTATCCTTTTATTTCTTTCACTCTTCATCCTGCTCCTGTTTTCATCCTTGTGTACCTACTCTTCCTCTGCCTGCTGGTCTCACAGCTCATTTTCATTATCTGCCTGCGTTTCCTTCTACTTTGTCTCAGGTTCTTCTTCTTGCCTCTTTCTCAGCTGTTCTTCCTTCTTCACTTGCTCTGCTTCCTGTTCTTCTTATATTATAGATTTCTGTTCCTTGCTCCTCCTCTTCCTCTTTGCTCTCAAGGAAATATTCTTTGTGTCAATTAAAGTTCTAAATAATCAGGTATGAAGTCTTCAAGGCTATATATATAATATAATATATATATATATATATATATATATATATATAATATATATATATATATATATATATATATATATTATATATATATATATATAATATATATATATATATATACTGGACCAATACCTTGGCGTGTAGCATGCGCTACACGTTTGATTTAAGGCAGCCAGCTTTCAGGAGAAGGCTTACGTGTAGCGCATGCTACTCGCCAAGGTATTGGTCCAGTGTGAGTAGATTGGTAAAGCACTGCGTACCTTGTCCTAAGGTTCGTAGGTTCGAGTCTCCTTCAGCCAGAGATCAGTGTTTGTGTATATTTCGCATGCTCTCGCGAATTCCTTGCATTGTTCAAATCTCTAGTAAGGCTGATGCATGCAGGGGATGAGATGAAAAGCTGCAAGACTTCTCCCTGAAAGCTGGCTGTCTTGGATCTAACGTGTAGCGCATGCTGCACGCCAAGGTATTGGTCCAGTATGGGTATATTGGTAAAGCACTGCTTACCTTGTCCTAAGGTTCGTAGGTTCGAGTCTCCTTCAGCCAGAGATCAGTGTTTGTGTATATTTCGCATGCTTTCGCGAATTCCTTGCATTGTTCAAATCTCTAGTAAGGCTGATGCATGCAGGGGATGAGATGAAAAGCTGTAAGCCTTCTCCCTGAAAGCTGGCGGCCTTGGATCAAACGTGTAGCGCATGCTACACGCCAAGGTATTGGTCCAGTGTGGGTAGATTGGTAAAGCACTGCGTACCTTGTCCTAAGGTTCGTAGGTTCGAGACTCCTTCAGCCAGAGATCAGTGTTTGTGTATATTTCGCATGCTCTCGCGAATTCCTTGCATTGTTCAAATCTCTAGTAAGGCTGATGCATGCAGCCGATGAGATGAAAAGTTGTAAGCCTTCTCCCTGAAAGCTGGCTGCCTTGGATCAAACGTGTAGCGCATGCTACACGCCAAGGTATTGGTCCAGTGTGGGTAGATTGGTTAAGCACTGCGTACCTTGTCCTAAGGTTCGTAGGTTCGAGTCTCCTTCAGCTAGAGATCAGTGTTTGTGTATATTTCGCATGCTCTCGCGAATTCCTTGCACACACACACACACACACACACACATATATATATATATATATATATATATATATATATATATATATATATAAAATATATATATAATATATATATATATATATATATATATATATATATATATATATATATGTGTGTGTGTGTGTGTGTGTGTCGTGCCGAATATATAAAACTGGTCAATTAGCAAGAACTCATTTAAAATTAAGTCCTTTCTAAAATTTTCTCTTGTACGTTTAAAGATATATTTTTTCATTGATGTTGATGTAAAAATTAATAATTTTGCACGAAAAGGAACTTAGAAAACTTACCTAACCTTATTACAACAAAAACAATTTATTTTGGCCTAACCCAACTAAATATATTTAACATTTGTTTACAATAATTTATTACTAAACAAACACAGTGAAATATATTTTTTTCGTTAGGTTCAGAATGATTTTGGCGAAATTATTGCATACACAAATTTTCACTTGTCCTATAAGGCAAGATGAGCGTTGCTATTTAAGCCATGATCGCAAGTTCTGCCTATTCGGCACGACATATTTATATATGTGTATATATATATGTCGTGCCGAATAGGCAGAACTTGCGATCTTGGCTTAAATAGCAACGCTCATCTTGTCATATAGGACAAGTGAAAATTTGTGTATGCAATAATTTCGCCAAAATCCTTCTGAACCTATCGAAAAAAATATATTTCACTGTGTTTGTTTAGTATTAAATTATTGTAAACAAATCTAAAATATATATAGTTGGGTTAGGCTAAAATAAATTGTTCTTGCTATAATAAGGTTAGGTAAGTTTTCTAAGATTCTTTTGGTGCAAAATTCAAAATTTTTACATTAACATTGATGAAAAAAATATATCTTTAAACGTATAAGAGAAAAAGGACTTAATTTTAAATGAGTTCTTGCTAAATGACCAATTTTACACATTCGGCACGACATATATTATATATATATATATATATAATATATATATATATATATATATAATATATATATATATATATATATATATATATATATATATATGTCGTGCCGAATATGTAAAACTGGTCAATTAGCAAGAACTCATTTAAAATTAAGTCCTTTCTAAAATTTTCTCTTATACGTTTAAAGATATATTTTTTTTCATTAATGTTAATGTAAAAATTTTTAATTTTGCACCAGAAGAATCTTAGAAAACTTACCTAACCTTATTATAACAAGAGCAATTTATATTAGCCTAACCCAACTAAATATATTTTAAATAAGTCTATAATAATTTAGTACTAAACAAACACAATCAAATATATTTTTTTCGTTAGGTTCAGAATGATTTTGGCGAAATTATTGCATACACAAATTTTCGCTTGTCCTATATGGCAAGATGAACGTTGCTATTTAAGCCAAGGTCGCAAGTTCTGCCTATTCGGCACGACATATATATATATACATATATATATATATATATATATATATATATATATATATATATATATATATATATATATATATATATATATATATATATATATATATATGTATGCAAGGAATTCGCGAGAGCATGCGAAATATACACAAACACTGTATATATATATATATATATATATATATATATATATATATATATATATATATATATATATATATATATATATATATATATATATATATATATATATATATATATATATATATATATATATACATATACATATATATATATGCAAAACAACCACTGTGAAAGATTAATGAAATTCCAAGCGTTTTCTTGACTACTCACATTATCAAGGAACAATAAAAGTAATACATTAGAGGAGGGCATATAAAGGGTCTAGACCACACCTCACTATCATATCCCACAACAAAGCAACACCTGATGCGCGACTCATAAGAAAGAGAACATGGCACAACTAGACAGGTCCATCTCGCAACCCACAAACTATTCTACCCAAGAATTAAGATTTATTATTTGTCCAATGTAATACTAAATTCTTCCCAAATTCTATGAATTATAATCGGATCTAATTTATATAAGCCAAAGGAAATATTCATATTATTGTCAAAACTGCTTTTTATGAAGCAAGATTCAATTATATTCCTGTCGACCATGGACTTGCTTGATACAACTTTCTCAACTTTTTGAAAATCAATTGGATGGTTAAAATCTCTCAAATGAATAAATGGAGCATTGGAATCTTGTCCAGTTCTAATGCTATATTTATGTTGTTTTAATCTTAGTTCAAGATTTTTTGCCAGTTTGACCGTAATAAACTTTATAGCAAATTTTACAAAGAATCTTTTAGACATATCCGTCAGCATTTTGGGGGGAATTCCTTATCAAAAATTTGTTTACTGTATCAAGATTTTTACATACAACTTTGATATTAAAAATCTAAAGAAGAGAAGGCATATCAACCAAGTTTTCATGGTAAGGGAGAACCAACATAATTTTAATTGAATAAGGTTGGATGTCCCTTTTTGGGTTGTAAAAAATATTTTTAGTAATTTTAAAAGATTTATCAATTACCTTTCTTGGGTATTTCAGATCATTAGCTATTTCATAAATTTTGGATATTTCTTCATCTATGAACTCTGGACTACAAATAAGCGTAGTTCTCAAAAACATTGATGAGAAAACCGTCAATTTAACTCTATCTTGATTTGAAGAATAACAGTGTACATAGAAACAGTTATTTGTGGGTTTTCTGTAAATTTTAAATTTTAAGTCATTGTTACCCATAATAATTAAAACATTTAGAAAAGGCAATGAGTTATTTTCCTCAAACTCAACAGTAAAGTTTACAGAATGGGCTAAGCTATTTAAATTAACAAGGAAATGGTGTATATCTATATTCTTGGGCATAAGAATGTATATCTACATTCTTATGCCCAAGAATGTAGTTTTTGTAATATTTTTTGTAGCATTCTACGCCTTCGAGTCTGTAAAATCAAATTTTCTGAACAACTTCGCCAAGTTTGGTCCAGCGTCACTTCACTTAGAAGATGAGACTAAACCTGTGGAACTTGCCACCAAGATCTTTGATCAATATGTTGGAGGTGTTAAAGTTAACTTGGAAGATGCAGAGAATATCTGTCGGGTAAGAGATAATTCTAATTAATGCTTGCAATTATCCCTCGACCATTTTTTATTTACCAAGTGAAATTTTTTTTAATATATTTTTAAACAGACATTTGTCAGACGTCAAACATCATCAAATGATTTAAAATTTATTTGGTAATATAAAAGTTTTTATATCCCCCACTGCCTTAAAAAACTGATATAATATGACTAAATATTTAAGGCAGTTTATTTAACTTTGATTACAAAATCAATAGTCATACAACGTATGATATATATATTTCAGGTGTAATGTGTTTGAGAATCATTTCATTAACAAACAGGTACATGATTCATTCTCAGAAGAATGTTATCAGTAGGATGGTTCCCTGAAATGTGATTTCTTCCTTCTTAATCAGATGTTTAATGATCGTCTCTACAACATACCTCAAGACACAGCAGCCATTATCCATGCTAAAAATATGGGACCTAATAAGAAAATATTTTTACTTGAACTAAACCATAAAGGTCAACGATCATTGTCAAGTCATTTAAACGTCAGCGTTGGTCGGCACTGTGAGTGTTAAGTCACCTTATTGATGTAGCCATTTGGGTCTAATAATAATAATAATAATAATAATAATAATAATAATAATAATAATAATAATAATAATAATAATAATAATAATATTAATAATAATAATAATAATAATAATAATAATAATAATAATAATAATATTAATAATAATAATAATAATAATAATAATAATAATAATAATAATAATAATAATAATAATAATAAAAATAATAATAATAATAATTTATTATGGGGAAGTGCTAACCTGTGGGATCAAACTAAACTTAAATGAGAGAAAATTAATTATGATCCAGGGAAGTGGAAGGTAGATCCAGTTTCTGAAAAAAACAACCATCGCTTCTCATCAGTGTATTGTGTTTTTCACTGAAGTTATTTGAATTATTTATTATTACTATTATTATTACTGTTGTTGTTATTATTAAAATTATTATTACTATTATTATTATTATTATTATTATTATTATTATTATTATTATTATTATTATTATCATTATTATTATTATTATTATTATTATTATTATTATTATTATTATTATTATTATTATTATTATTATTATTATTTTTATATTATTATTATTATTATTATTATTATTATTATTATTATGAGTAGTAGTAGTAGCAACAGTAGTAGTGTTGCTGTTTATTGCTTAATTATTACTATTATTATTACTGTTGTTGTTATTATTAAAATTATTATTATTATTATTTATTATTATTATTATTATTATTATTATTATTATTATCATTATTATTATTATTATTATTATTTTTTATTATTATTATTATTATTATTATTATTATTATTATTATTATTATTATTATTATTATTATTACTATTTTTATTTTTATTATTATTATTATTATTATTATTATTATTATTATTATTATTATTATTATCATTATTATTATTATTATTATTATTATTATTATTATTATTATTATTATTATTATTATTATTATTATTATTATGAGTAGTAGTAGTAGCAGCAGTAGTAGTGTTGCTGTTTATTGCTTAATTATTATTGTAATAATAGTAATATTTTTTTTATTTTATTATTGTTTTGTATTAACACATCGGCCATCTCCCACCAAGGCAAAGTGGCCAGAAAAAGAAAAACTTTCATCATCATTCACTCCATCACTGTCTTGCCATAGGAGCACTTACACTACAGTTATAAAATTGCAACATTAATACCTTTCATTGAGAGTGCAGGCACTGTACTTCCCAACTCCAGGACTCAAGCCCGACCTGCCAGTTTCCCTGAATCCTTTCATAAATGTTTTCTTGCTCACATCCCAACAGCATGTCAACTTCTAATAACTATTTGCCTCCATTCGCTTTATCAAACACTGTCACGCATGCTTGCTGGAAGTCCAAGCCCCTCACACACAAAACCGCCTTTACCCCTCCCTCCAACCTTTCCTAGGCCAACCCCTACCTCGCCTTCCTTCCACTACAGATTTATACGCTCTCGAAGTAATCCTATTTTGTTTCATCCTCTCTGCATGTTCGAACCACAAAAAGCTCTCCTCAGACACCTGGATAATAGTTTTGGTAATGCCGCACCTCCTCCTAATTTCCAAACTATGAATTTTCTGCATTATATTCACACCACGCACTGCCTTCAGATATGACTTCACTGCCTCCAGCCTTCTCCATGTTGCAACATTCATCACCCATGTTTCACACCCATATAAGAGCATCGGTAAAACTAAACTCTTAAATTCCCCTCTATGCTTCCATTGACAAACTTCTCTATCTCCACAGGCTCCTTAGAGCACCATTAATCTTTTTCCCCTCATCAGTTCTGTGATTCACCTCATCCTTCAGAGACCAGTCTGCTGACACGTTCACTCCTAAATATCTGTATACATTCACCTCCTCCTTACTCTCTCCCTCCAATTTGATATCTAATCTTTCATCACCTATTTTTTTTATCATCACCTTACTCATTCCTATATTCACTTTTAATTTCTTCTGTTACATACCCTATCAAATTCATCCACCAACCTCTGCAACTTCTCTTCAGAATCTCCCAAAAAGCACAGTGTCATCAGCAAAGAGCAACTGTGACAACTCCCGCTTTGTGTTTAATTCTTTTTCTTTTAACTCCACACCTCTTGCCAAGACCCTTGCATTCACGTCTCTTGCAATCCCATCTATAAATATATTGAACAACCATGGTGATGTCACAAATCCTTATCAAAGCTTACTTTTACTGGGAAATAATCACCATCTCTCCTACATACTCTAGCCAGAGCCTCAATAACCTAGTAATAACTCTTCACTGTTTTCAGTAACCTACGTCCTATTCCATACATTTAAAACATCTGACACATTGCCGCCCTATCCATTCTCTTATACACCATTTCCAAATCTACAAGTGTCACAAAAATCTCTTTACCCTTATCTAAGTACTGTTCACCTATATGTGTCACTGTAAACACTTGGTCTACACCCCCTCTACCATTCCTAAAGCCTCCTTGTTCATCTGCTATCCTATTCTCCGTCTTTCTCTTAATTCTTTCAATAAAAACTCTACCATACACTTTACCAGGTATACTCAACAGACTTATTCCCCTATAATTTTCACACTATTTTTTGTCCCCTTTGCCTTTATACAAAACAACTATGCATGCTCCCTGCTAATCCCTGGGCACCTTACCTTATTCCATATATTTATTAAATTAAAGCTCCGACCACTCCAAAACTATATCCCCTCCTGCTTTTAATATTTCTATCTTTATCCCATCAATCCCAGCTGTTTTATCCCCTTTCATTCTACCCACTGCCTCACGAACTTCCCCCACACTCACAACTGGCTCTTCCTCACTCCTACAAGATGTTATTTCTCCATGCACTATACACGAAATCACAGCTTCCCTATCTTCATCAACATTTAGCAACTCCTCAAAATATTCCCTCCATCTTCCCGATACCTCTAACTCTCCATTTAATAACCCACCTCTCCAACTTTTAACTCTCAAATCCATTTGTTCTCTTGGCTTCCTCAGCTTACTAATCTCACTCCAAAACTTTATCTTATTTTCAACAAAATTTGTTGATAACATCTCACCCACTCTCTCATTTTGTCTCTTTATAAATTGCTTCACCACTCTCTTAACCTCTCTTTTATCTCCATATTCTCTTCCCTCCTTGGATTACTTGTACTTTGTACTTTGTAAAACCCTCTCATGTACTAGCTTTTTCTTCTTTACTACTCTCTTTACATCATTATTCCACCAATAACTGTTCTTCCCTCCCCTACCCACTTTCCTGTAACCACAAACTTCTGCTGAACACTCTAATACTGCATTCCTAATCCTACCCCATACATCTTCGACCCCATTGCCTATACTCTCATTAGCCCATCTATCCTCTAATAGTTGTTTATATCTTCCCCTAACTGCCTCGTCCTTTAGTTTATAAACCTTCACCTCCCGCTTACTTGCTGCTTCTATTCTCCATGTATCCCATTTACCTCTTACTCTCACTGTAGCTACAACTAAAAGTGATCTGATATATCTGTGGCCCCTCTATAAACATGTACATTCTGAAGTCTACTCAACAGTCTTTTATCTACCAATGCGTACTCCAACAAACTACTGCCATTATGCCTTACATCATATCATGTATATTTATTTATCCCTTTCTTTTCTTTAAATATGCCTTATCTTTAACCAAACCTCTTTCTATACAAAGTTCAAAGAGCCCTCATTATCACCTACACTTGGCACCCCAAGCTTACCTACCACACCCTCTCTAAATGTTTCTCCTACTTTAGCAGTTAGGCTGCATACCACAATTACTCTCTCACTTGGTTCAAAAGTTCTTACATACTCGCTTAACATCTCTCCTCTTCTCTATACTCCTCTCTTCTCCAGGTATATACACACTTATTAGGACCAACTTTTCGCATCCGACCTTCATTTTAATCCACATAACCAGTGAATTTATACATTTATATTCCCTCTTCTCCTTTCATAACTAATCCTTCAACATTATTGCTACACCTTCCTTAGCTCTAACTCTCTCAGATACTCCTGATTTAATTAATCCCATATATTTCTCCTCAATGAAACTCGCCTACCCCCTTCAACTTTGTATCACTTAGAGCCAGGACATCAAACTTCTTTTCATTCATAACATCAGCAATCATCTCTTTCTTATCAGCGGCACTACATACAAGCACATTCAAGCATTCCAGTTTTTTTTTTTTTAGCATATTCTTTAGAAGGGGTTACTAGCCCATTGCTCACGGCATCATAGTTGCCTCATGCGATATACATGGCTTACAGGAAAGATTCTTTTCCACTTCCTCCTGGAGAATAGACGAAATAAAGAAGAAAAAGAAACAGGAAAAAGAAGAAAAACCTGAATTTGTGTTTGTATATATATGCATGTGCATGCCTGTGTAGTGTGACCTAAGTGTAAGTATAAGTAACAAGATATACCTGTTATCCAGCGTGTTTATGAGACAAAAAAGACACCAACAATCCTACCATCATGTAAAACAGTTACAGGTTTCTGTTTCACACTCATTTGGCAGGACGGTAATACCTCCCTGGGTGGTTGCTGTCTACCAATAGTAATAATAGTAATGATAATAAAAATAATAATAACAAATTATTATTA